CTCAGGGTGTGGGAGCTACTCAATTGCATTTGCATCTTTCCAGACAATTACACTTCTCGCTCTGCAGGCAAAAGCAGGAGATGGCAAAAATATTTTTCCCAACTGCTCCTTCACTTTGGCTGCTATCCTTTAAAAAGAAATGCACTTTTTGTTGTTTTCAAAACATGTTGTTTCTAATGTTTCTCTGTATTTAGGTAATTGCAGACTTTTGTGGCTTAGATACGGTTCTAAATACTGTAAAAGGAAAATAGTTAGAAATTTTCAAGCCTGAATATATTAAGCTCTTAAAATGACTGTGTTTAGGACTGCTGCTCATCAGAAAGACATGCTGCTATCAGTGAGAGCAGTGGTTGTTCAGTAACATGGGCCATCAAGGCAATAATATTTGAATATGTGAACACTTTGATTTAAAGTCTGTTCTTCAGATTCTATTGCATCTCTGCTTGTCTGAACAGTTATATTCCTAACACATCCTCTAATGGTTGCATATTATTTGTTATCATAACAAGGAATAGAGGCTGCAGTTCAGCATCCAAGGGTCTGTGTCTGCTTCTGTCCAGCACACGTGATTTATTGCGATACCTTCACGTGAGTCTGGTACCACAGCTGATCTCAGGATCGGCTCCTTCTGCCAGGACAAGTGAAAAAAAATTTCTAACTTGGTTTTGATTGAAAGGTCAAAACAAAGTTTATTTAATTTAATGAAATTATTCTGTGGGATAAGTGTCTACTTTCTTTGGACAGGTTGCCAATCCTTTGAAATGTGAAAAAAATGAAAATGCAGATTTGGAGTATAGCCAAGGTAAGTATTTCAGATTTTTTTATAAGAAAGTTCAAGTTCTCTCTGGCAGCAGTGCAGGGCTGGCAGCAGTGCAGGGATGGCAGAGGTGCAGGGATGGCAGCAATGCAGGGATGGCAGCAATGCAGGGATGGCAATGGTGCAGGGATGGCAGCAGTGCAGGGATGGCAGCTGTGCAGGGATGGCAGAGGTGCAGGGATGGCAGCAGTGCAGGGATGGCAGCAATGCAGGGATGGCAGCAGTGCAGGGATGGCAGCAGTGCAGGGATGGCAATGGTGCAGGGATGGCAGCAGTGCAGGGATGGCAGAGGTGCAGGGATGGCAGCAGTGCAGGGATGGCAGCAATGCAGGGCTGGCAGCAGTGCAGGGATGGCAGCAGTGCAGGGATGGCAGCAATGCAGGGATGGCAGAGGTGCAGGGATGGCAGCAGTGCAGGGATGGCAATGGTGCAGGGATGGCAGAGGTGCAGGGCTGGCAGCTATGCAGGGATGGCAATGGTGCAGGGATGGCAGCAGTGCAGGGATGGCAGCAGTGCAGGGATGGCAGCAGTGCAGGGATGGCAGAGGTGCAGGGATGGCAGCAGTGCAGGGATGGCAGCAGTGCAGGGATGGCAGCGGTGCAGGGATGGCAGAGGTGCAGGGATGGCAGCAATGCAGGGATGGCAGAGGTGCAGGGATGGCAGCAATGCAGGGATGGCAGCAATGCAGGGCTGGCAGCAATGCAGGGATGGCAGAGGTGCAGGGATGGCAGCAATGCAGGGATGGCAGCAATGCAGGGCTGGCAGCAGTGCAGGGATGGCAGCAATGCAGGGATGGCAGAGGTGCAGGGATGGCAGCAATGCAGGGATGGCAGCAGTGCAGGGATGGCAGCAATGCAGGGATGGCAGCAGTGCAGGGATGGCAGCAATGCAGGGATGGCAGTGGTGCAGGGATGGCAGCAGTGCAGGGATGGCAGCAATGCAGGGATGGCAGCAGTGCAGGGATGGCAGCAATGCAGGGCTGGCAGAGGTGCAGGGATGGCAGCAATGCAGGGCTGGCAGCAGTGCAGGGATGGCAGCAATGCAGGGATGGCAGAGGTGCAGGGCTGGCAGCAATGCAGGGATGGCAGCAGTGCAGGGATGGCAGAGGTGCAGGGATGGCAGCAATGCAGGGATGGCAGAGGTGCAGGGATGGCAGCAGTGCAGGGATGGCCGTGGTGCAGGGATGGCAATGGTGCAGGGATGGCAGCAATGCAGGGATGGCAGAGGTGCAGGGATGGCAATGGTGCAGGGCTGGCTGCAGCAGCTCCTGCCCACCCTGGCCCAGCTCTGTGAACAAACAGCTCCAGTGCCTCTCCTGCCAAGTGATTTTTCTTTTAATCTCATGACATTGCACAGTGCTGTTTTGATATATTATCTGTCCTTTTTTCACATTACAGAGCTTCTCTGGGCTGGAGTGCAAGTTCTGTGTGAGGCTGCTGGCAGTAAGAGGGTCAGAAGACACAGATGGTCTAAGGCTGGGATTTGAAGAAAATAGTGGGAATGAAAGGGAGTGCATTGTCTATACAGATCATGGTGAAATGCCTTGCTAATATCACATAAATACTTGTATAATTACTCACTTAGTAGTTACCTAATTATATTGCTAGCAGTGGGAGAATGCTTTATTATGTGGATTTATTGATTTTAGGGCATGCAGTGTTGAACTGGAAAAAGTTAGAGAGTTGAGACAGTGAATCAAATAAGGACCCCCCTGGGAAATCCACTAATAAGTACATTACTGGACAGCAAGAAAAGTGGCTGGAAGCCAGGCAGAATAAATAGAATCAGTCCCAAACGAAATGATTAAAAATAGGCAGAAGAAGGGAAAAGAAGTTCTATGCTAATGCTTGACTGGGAACTAAGCTACTATACAGACCAGTGCTGGTTTTCCAAGAATTTTCCTGTCCATTCTGCATCTATTTTTAGACTGTGGTTTCCTTCCTTAAACAAGATACGTAGCAACATGCCAGTGGGAAAGCGTTGTGAGGTTAGTCCTGTCAGTCAGTACAGAGCACCTGGCCTCTGGGCAGATATCCAGAGAGCTTCTTGCCAAGGAAGTAGCTTGTACTAACTGTGAACTCCGTCCACCTGTTAGGCATTGTTTGCTCATGATTTATGTCTCGCGCTACAGACGCATTTGCCACAATGAGCTATTTACAGCAGTTTAATAGTAATTCTTGTAATTGGCACTGAATCCACTGGCAAGCAGATGCATGCAGATACATGTATATCTTCTCCCTTGGTCTGCCTTCTCTCCCACTGGAAAGGCTTTCTTTCTTTGTTTGCCTGCAGCCAGCGACACGCGCCACGCAGCTACGCTCTGCAGCACGGCGCTGTGCTCAGTAGCAGCATTGCACTGGGCTGCGCTGCCTTTGCGTTAGCCAAATGACTCACATGCTTCCCTCAGAAATCAGCTACTGTAATCCTAAAATACTTTGAGGAAAAGAATATTTGAAAATGATATCAACCCCATTAGTCTTTCACTGCATTTAGTTACACAGTGATGTCAGTGTAAGGAGAGCACTGAGCAGGCCTAATTAGACTTTAGAACTGTCTGTCTCTGGTTGAGACCTTATGTGGGCTGGGAGACACTGAGGCATTATGCCACGTGCTGGGAAGCCCAGGTGCATTTGGTGTTCAGGTGAAAGGAGCCCTTGGCCGTAACCAAACCTCAGCTAGGGGAGCGTGCCACCCACCAGCTCTGTGCTCTTCCCCTGGCAGTTGGAGAGCTCACTGAAACTGAGGCCTGCTACTGGCTCTGGGCTCTTTGAAATCCAAACCATAACCTCAGTGTCGCCCTACACCTATGAATTCAGATACTACTCCATGATTTCAAAAATGGGGTTTTGCCTGAGAGAAATTATTAAAAAAATCTCTGTTAAACCATATGTTCAATCTATTTTCTGAAAACTAGCCTGTATCCATTTGCTTCTCTCCTGAGACCTAATCCTGTCCCATGATAAAAACCCTAAAATCAGAACTGATAATTTGGCTGACAATATGTGAAGAGCTCTGCTGCTTAATTAGTTCTGCAATGCTGCTGACAGTAATTACAGCCTCCTTTTGTGTCAATAACTAAGTCAGCAACTCTCAAAAAAGATTCAGGGCCTTATTTGTCTTTTAGTTATGTCACTTCGGCATGCCTGTAATTTCAGTGATAACAGTAGAATTACCCTTAACATGCAGCAGTGTAAGTGAAAGGAACATCCAGACGTGTACACTGGGGGTTGGATTTGCAGTCACATTTCTGACTGGGAGCGATTTAGAAAATATGTATCTAAAAATACAAGCACTGGTCAATTTTCCCTAGGAAATAATACTAAACTGATGCTTTGCACAGGTGTTCAGAACCTTTGTTAGTGGTTTTGGGGACAAAAATTGCAGTTCTTGACAAATCAACACTAAAGGCTCATTGATGACATTTTAAAGAGAGTCCTGCTGTTTGAGAAAAAGGAAGCAAAACTGCAATCTAGAGAACTGAATGTGCTCCTGTATTCTCCATTAGATGTGGCCATGTGGATTTGAAGGAGACCTTTGTGGAACTTCCATGAAGTGACGTCTGTGTGCAGTGGTGGTTAATAGAGCGAGGAGGGTGTCAATGGAGTAAGCACGGACACACGTCCTGCTGGCTTTGGAGCCCTGAACTGGATTTCAGCTGCGACGTGCTTTACCGAGGAAAAGGGTAAAGGGAGAAGATTCATTTAGGTATAAGGTTATTAACGGAGGGTTAATTTCTGTGACTGAAAATTTAATTTTTAGTGAGTCCTCATTAATATATGACTTTGGCTCTTTCAGACGTGCTCTCTCTCCATGCCTTGTTACAGGACTGTGGGAGAGTTAACAGGGATAATGCGAATGGCGAGATATTTAGGTTAGAAGCGTTATAAAACCCAACATTCCACCAAGGCGGCCTCACGGGCAGTAATTTGCAGCTTTTCTGCAGCTTTTCTGCAGCACGACGGACCCGGCCCTCAGCCTCAGGCTCCGCCCTCAGCCTCGGCCCCGCCCTTCGCCCCGCCCTCATCTCAGCCCCTCGCCCCGCCCTTGGCTCCGCCCCTCGCACCGCCCTTGGCTCCGCCCTTCGCCCCGCCCCATCACGCGCAGCCCTGCGGGCGGGGCCAGGGTCGGGTCGAGTCACGTGACGGTGCCAACATGGCGGCGCCGTGGCGGCGGCGCGGCCGCTGAGGGAGGCGCGTCCCTTCCGGGTGGTGCCGCGGGCCCGAGCGCCCGCTCGGCTCTTGCTCCCGGCCTCGTCATGCAGCCACCGGCTCACGAGCAGGACGCCCGCACTAAGAGCATGTTTGTATCTCGGGCCCTGGAGAAGATCCTGGCGGAGAAGGAGGCGAAGCGGCCCCCGCACGGGCAGCTGCGGAGAGCCTGCCAGGTGGCGCTGGGTGAGTCGGCCCGGCCCGGCCCGGCCCGGCCCGCACAGGGCACGCGGGGCGCGGCGGTGGAAGGGGCCCAGCCCTCCGGCACATGTCCCCTCCAGCTCGCGTCCCGGCGGGGTGCGGGAGATCCTCTCGAGAGCTTGGAGCGGAGGGAGTTCTCCCTCCAGTACAGGATGTGCAAATATGAGGAGAAAACCCCCAACCTGTTTTATTAAGTTCTATTCTCGGTGTGAAACAGGAGGGACTTGGTCTTGCCACTTCGGTTTTGAGAAAATTAATTGCAGCCTTTGGACTAGGAAACAAGAGTTGTTAAGGCCCTCGACTTACGGAGTCCCAGAGCTTCTCGGGATGTTAAATCTGACCTCTGATCTCCAGGTCGTGTTCGGACTGGCTAAGGACTGTTAGCATTGTGGCCAAGTACACGTAATGCCTGTGATGTTTTCAGAGCTGGCAGCGCTTTTTGTGAAGTTGGTGGGCTGATCCTGAAATCTGCAAGTACGAGTTTATGTAAAGGTCTCTGTGGTAAAAGTTCTGACAACATATGGTGTGTCACAGAGAGGGAAAAGATAAACTGAGGAGAATAGTAGAGCTCTGCAGCTGGAGTTCTCCATGGTCCTTTCTTAATTTGCAAAAGTGACATTTCTCTTTCAGCTTTGGTTGCTTCCCATCAATAATTTCCTTTGAATTGGAACATTTAGTGTATCCAAGACAAGAAAAGACAGGTTGAGTATGTAAGGAGGCTGGACAGGTGCAAGTTCTGTCCCAGGCAGAGTGAGCTTAAAGAAATGCTGTCATTTTTATCATTTTTCCAGCAGTCTTTACTGCCAGAGAGCTGTAGGAGCTACCTGTAGTGTAAACACATATGCCCCAGCAGTTAGAGACTGCTTTTCCTAATGAGTTCCTTTTCCTGATCTCTTCCCCAGCTGCCCCCACATGCACTGAACCCATTTACCGGGCTGAGAACCTGTTTTGCTGCTATGTAAATATATCTAGAGGCTGAGAAGGGAACTTCCTTGTAAGATGCCTGGTGAAGGCTGGTGCTTGCTGAGGCATTGCAGGCGGTGATTTTGGGAGGAGTGTTGGCACCTGCCACTTGGGCTACAGCTGTGCCTGCAGCCCTGTTCTAAGGTGCAGCCTGTGGGAGGGGAGCTAATGCTTCTCGTGGTGCACAGAATAAACCTGCTTTGAAAAGGAGTCCGTGGGCTTTCCTGGACTAAAGCAGAGGTCAGCATAAAGAGATAACCTTATGTTGACCAACTGTTAGGGGCCTGAATGACTGTATGGGAGGATCTCTGTTACATTTGGTGAACATTACTTGATTATTTTAGGTTGCTAACAGGAATGGGGTTTCTTTTATTTACATGTGATTTTTCCCCCCAAACTTTATTCTATTTGATTAATCATTTTTTTTTTCTTTTCTCGAGTAAAGAAATCAGTTTTATTTCCACATACTTAATTTTAATTAAGCATATCCTTTGTATTAACTAAGACTATGACAGTTTCAAAAGTGTCAACTTAATTTTCAAGCTCTGTGCAATAGTAAATATGTGAGGAAATGTGAGAAGAATGTTACTGGCAGTCTGAAGAATTCAGGCCAAACTTTGTAACCTACAGAAACTGTCAGGAATGAAAGAAGCTTCAATGTTGTGAATAATAATAAAAAGTCCAGTTAACACTGAATAAAAATAATTCTGTTTGAAAGAAATGTAGTTACTTTATGAAAGTGGTCATTGTGTCAGCTGTTGTCTGCTGCACTTTTCTCCAAGTAATACTTCAGATAATCCATTTCTACTTACTAAATCCCTTTTGCTGTGCAGTCTTCTCTATGCAGTGGTGTTTTTATTGGAGCCTTGTGGCATTGTGCCACTTATAAACCAGGCAACACAGGCATGGAGCATGTGTAGCTGATATCTGCTCCTGGGACAAGGGAATCTGAGATGATTTTTTTTTTCCAGATAGGGAGAAGTGGGTGTATTCTACAGCTGCCTAATAGAAATTAACCAGTTTTTATGGCTTCTGCTATGGTGTTACTGCAGTAGTGTTTCTATTGCTTACCTATGCTTTACATTTGTTGTTGGGTGAGAGAGAAAGAAGAAGTTTCTAACTGTGGGAATGATGCTCTTGTTTTCTTACATGAGTTCTGTATTAATTTGTACATGTAGCTCCTGAGAATTTAGGTAAATTACTATGGAATGTTGCTGTCTCTCTTGTGTAGGAAATATAGGTATTCTTTATTTCTAATTTTAAATCTGCTTTAATTTTTCTAAATTTAAATTCTTACCCTTTTTACCCTGCAATTGGGTCCTTTCACTGGGCTAATACTGATCAGTTTTGGACTACAAAATACACATGACCTTGTAGAAATCAGAATTAACATAGGGTGCTAAAAGGACAGAAACACAAGTGTGCAGGAAAAGGAACAAAACCACTTCACAGTGGTGTTTTTTTGGGTTTTTTGCCTCTTTCCATGCCCTCCTTTGAAATACACACTGTTAATGTTAAGTAAGCAGAGTTTGAATAGATTCCTTCATTCAGTCTCTTGCTTCATCAGTAGGTGTAACGGTTGTCTCCTGTAGTTGTAGTGCCAGTAAGCCCCAGGAGAGATTGGGAGAAATTGAGGGTTTTAAACAGAGAAGCTGTTCTGTTCTGCTGTAGAAAACCCTGTTTTAAAGAAAGTTTGTTTTTGACAGACCGTTTTATTGTATAAAAATAGGTGCATAATAAGCATTTTCATTTACATGAAGCTCCACGTACACATGATTCTTAATAAACCTCCTGAAATTATCCTGAAAAATTTGCAGTGGAATACTGACACTCTGTATCCCAGCAGTTCATAATTGTGCACCTGGGTCACTCACATAAGCTATTACTCCTGCCCTACTGGGGCTGTTTTTAATGACATACTGTGCGGCCATCCTGCTTCTGCAGCCTTCTCTGATAGCCTGGGCAGCTCCACATACAGATCTTCAAGCTTTGTGAACAACAGAATTTGTTTAGTTAGTTTGTTAACAAGTTAAAATCTTTTCAGCCCTGCCTTCACTTAGCAATCTGGTTGTGTGTTTAGGAAGTCTCTGTGTATAAATGACAAATGTCCAAAATAAGTTGTGTTTCTTTGTTTGGCCTCTTGTCCAATGTGCTCAGAGAGCGCTGGGGCAGAGAGCAGACTGCAGCTTCCCTGGCCCTTTTCCCAAGGGCTCTACACGGCCTCGTGTGATCCATACCGGTTGGGCTTTGCATGGAGTCCAAGGCAGGCTGGGCTTGGGCAATGCGGTTGGCTTTACTGTCCTGGGGGAGGGAAGGTCTGGCTGCTCCTCCACGTGTTTGTGTTGGCCCCGCTGCCTGCTGCTCGGACCATGGCCCGTGTCATTGTGCCAGCACAAGCCATTTTTTGCCCAGGGGCTCGCTTGCTTCCACTGACACAAACCCGACTCTAAGGCCACAGAGCAGGCATTGAGCTGCCGGCAGACAACAAATGTCCTCTGGTTTAATATGTAGTTTTCAATACAAGTGAACTGAACCTATCCATCTGCTAGAGAAAGGCAGCTACCCAATGTCGGCTTTATCCTGCTTTTATGGCCAGAAACTCTGGAAGAAATTGCTGCAAGGCCATTCTTGTTCCAGGTCTGTTGCGTGGTAGGAATGCTGCTGGACTTGTGTTAGATGGGCAGTGCAGGGGTTGAAGATGTTTCTGACTGAAGGAGGTGCCGTGGGAGAGACAGGGAGCTCTGGTACCTAAAGCTCCAAGTGAAGGGTCAGCATTGTGCTGTCGTGACCAGATGTTGACCAAGATTGGGACTGTGTTCTGTAGCTGCAGGAGGGAGCTGAGCTGTGCCCCTTACTCCTGTGACTGGAGAAAAACAGGACAAGTGGCGGGCGGTTTCTGGAAGCTGGCCGTGTCTGGTTAGGGCTTGGCAAGCTGTTCTTGGCAGCAGACTTCAGTTAGGCAACTATTTCTGTTTCACTCACTTGTGATGGTCAGACCACCAAATGAGTACTTCAGATGTGGAGGTTTTCAAACTGTTTTGGTGCAGTCAGTAGCAGAAGTATGCCTGCAGCTTCCTTTTGTCCTTTCATTTATTCTTTTCTGCCAGTATTATCTATTCAAATACTGTTGTGGTGAAGATGTTTTCATATGGCTTTAGAAAAGCTTTTATTATAATAAAATTGTGGGGAACTTGGTCAGGCCTTGGTTAGATCTTTCTTGTTGCTGTTTATAGAGTACTTCTGAGAGTTAAACTGTTATTGCTCTAATATGGCATATTATTCTCGCATTATTTTTCCAGTGCAAGATCTATGACAACTATCAGTAAAGATGGGCATGATCATGTCTCCTTAAGGCTATAATCTTTATGAATCTTTCAATTCAACATCTTTTTTACATTGCAAAACAATCAGTATGGGGGGAAAATGATCTTGAAAGAAAGAAAAACTTACTGGAAATTTTGGCATTAGAAAAATTTCTTCATTAAGAAAAAGTTCTGTACACCTTAGTTCTACAGGGTGTCTGAAATACAGCATTAATTATGTTTTTGCTGACCCTGGAGTCCTGCTGTACTTGGGATGGTAGCTATAGCTAAACTATGCCTTTCTCTGCCAAGACCTGGAGACAGGACTAAGCGCTCCAAAGGTGTAAAGGTACCCAGAAGACTCAGTGTTTTAAGCAGCAGTTCCTGCATGCTATGGGAATGTGCTGTGCTAAGAGCAAGGCACATCAAAACAGGGGCACAATACATTGGTGGGTCACATACGTTCTCAGTAGCTCTTTGGATTATATGATGTTAAAGGTGGGGAAGGTAATTAAATCAAAAGGCCTGAATTGAAATTGTGCTGAACTGAATTTCTGACAAGTCACCTGATTGGCAGGCCAGCTGGATCCTGGAATTAAAAACACAGTGGTTTAAGTGATGCTGTGCAAGATTTACGTTGTCTGTTTGGCACAGAAAACCTTGGTCATTTCTTATCAACAGCCTCCATTCTGTTGTCTCCTCTCCAGTTGAAGCCTAAAGCATCAGGGGATGGTGGTGCTGGCTTTGGGCTGTCACAGAGCTGCAAAGTTCCTACTGACCCCGAAGCCCCCAGGCCTCAGTGCTTACACCTTTCAATAACTGGTGAAACTGTGACCTCTGAAGCCGAGGTGTTACAGGAATGGACTAGCAAATACTGAAGCGCGAAACTGGATTTAAACATCTTACCTTTATTACTGTGTTATTGATAATGATAACTAAGGCTTGCATTTTTTTTCTCTCTTCCAGATGAAATAAAAAGTGAGCTGGAAAAGCAAAGGTAAATTATTAATTACTCTAAACAGAAGGGTGTGAAAAGAACAAATGGAATAATTTTGGGGAAGTGTAAGAGTGTATAAACATTATAGCAGTGAGTTTGTGAATACCCAGACCCACCTTTCTGCCAAGAACACGTGGCCTGGCCTGTGTGTTTCACTTACACAATGTTTGTGGCTGTGGGTACTCAAGCCATAACTGCCTATGAATTTCACCAGGAAAAAATTGTGAAATTTCTAAAAGGTGCCGTTTTTTTGCTTCCTTTTACTGGACTCAATAGCCTGATAGGAAGCTATAGGGAGCAGCACATACCCTGTGTTTGATAGCATGTGCTCTTTATTACCTAGATCAAGAAGACCAATTTAAATATTGCTGCAATAAAAGTTTTAAAAAACTTTTCCAGCAGTGTGCTATAATTGAAAAAGAGCAGATGGGTCTCCAGATGTGTTTCTGTTTGCTTAGTGTTCTGCTTATGGGCACTGTTTAATCCATTTTGAATAACATGGGTAGATACATCAGTTGTGTAGGAGTTTTCCAATATTTCAGATAGTGGGACAGTGTTGGAGTATAGTGAGAGAAGAGTTAAGCTGAAGAAGATACGAAAAAGATCAGATAGAATATAAATAAATGTGAAATGCGTTTTGTGTGATTTTTAAAGAAAATTGATCTTTGTTTAAGAAAGTCTATACATGAAAGCTGCTGTACATTTGTATGCTGCTGTGCATTATTTAGCTTTAAATTCAGAAAAAGGAGAAAGTGTAGTTTACTGTGATATACATGCTTAGAAAAATTAATAATTCTTTGTATCTGACCTAGAGAAGGCACTGCTGCTCCACCAAAAGCAAATTTCATTGAAGCAGATAAATATTTCCTTCCATTTGAGCTGGCCTGCCAGTCAAAGTCTCCACGCATCGTCAGTACTTCCCTGGATTGTTTACAGGTAAATGTGGTGGGTAGGCTTGGTCAGAGTGAGATGGAGAAAGCTGTAGTGACCAGATCTGGCACACAGCTCCCGCAGCGAGGAGCGGCCCTGCCCCGGGGTCCCTGCCCCAGGGTCACAGCAGGCAGGTGTCCCTGCCCCGGGGTGGCAGCAGGCAGGTGTCCCTGCCCCAGGGTCACAGCAGGCAGGTGTCCCTGCCCCGGGGTGGCAGCAGGCAGGTGTCCCTGCCCCAGGGTCACAGCAGGCAGGTGTCCCTGCCCCGGGGTCACAGCAGGCAGGTCCCTGCCCCAGGGTCACAGCAGGCAGGTCCCTGCCCCAGGGTCACAGCAGGCAGGTGTCCCTGCCCCAGGGTCACAGCAGGCAGGTGTCCCTGCCCCAGGGTCACAGCAGGCAGGTGTCCCTGCCCCGGGGTGGCAGCAGGCAGGTCCCTGCCCCAGGGTCACAGCAGGCAGGTGTCCCTGCCCCAGGGTCACAGCAGGCAGGTGTCCCTGCCCCAGGGTCACAGCAGGCAGGTGTCCCTGCCCCGGGGTGGCAGCAGGCAGGTGTCCCTGCCCCGGGGTCCCTGCCCCAGGGTCACAGCAGGCAGGTGTCCCTGCCCCGGGGTGGCAGCAGGCAGGTGTCCCTGCCCCAGGGTCACAGCAGGCAGGTGTCCCTGCCCCGGGGTCACAGCAGGCAGGTCCCTGCCCCAGGGTCACAGCAGGCAGGTCCCTGCCCCAGGGTCACAGCAGGCAGGTCCCTGCCCCGGGGTGGCAGCAGGCAGGTCCCTGCCCCGGGGTGGCAGCAGGCAGGTGTCCCTGCCCCGGGGTCACAGCAGGCAGGTGTCCCTGCCCCGGGGTGGCAGCAGGCAGGTGTCCCTGCCCCGGGGTGGCAGCAGGCAGGTGTCCCTGCCCCAGGGTCACAGCAGGCAGGTGTCCCTGCCCCGGGGTCCCTGCCCCAGGGTCACAGCAGGCAGGTGTCCCTGCCCCAGGGTCACAGCAGGCAGGTGTCCCTGCCCCGGGGTGGCAGCAGGCAGGTGTCCCTGCCCCGGGGTGGCAGCAGGCAGGTGTCCCTGCCCCAGGGTCACAGCAGGCAGGTGTCCCTGCCCCGGGGTGGCAGCAGGCAGGTGTCCCTGCCCCGGGGTGGCAGCAGGCAGGTGTCCCTGCCCCGGGGTGGCAGCAGGCAGGTGTCCCTGCCCCGGGTCACACTCGGCCGGGCACTGGGCACAGGGAGGAGTGTGGCTGCCCTGCTGTAGCCCCTTTGCTGGGGCTGGGGGATCCTTACACCAGGCAGTAAAGGTGCTTCATCTGTTGTGCTCCACAAGGAGTGTTACCAAGGGGTTTCTTGTGGTGCTGATGTGACAGAGGAAGTCACACTCTGGTGTTAAATTTTTTTTCTCTGGTCATGGTATGAAGAAATGGCCCAAGTTGAAAAAGCTTTTCTGTCGTACTAAAATCTGTTTTGCCCACATATATGAGCAGTCAAAGTATTTGCTGGCCAGACTGTAGATAGTGTTAAATTTTTACATTAAAACTGGTTAAGTGAGGTATGCTATCTAAACACACCTTTTTATGCTGTGCTAAACTGTGCTTTTCTTAACAAAATATGGTCATCTAAGCTGCATTCTTTCTATCTAGAAACTCATTGCATATGGGCACATCACTGGCAATGCTCCGGACAGCGGAGCTCCCGGAAAACGGCTGATTGACCGAATAGTGGAAACCATTTGCAATTGCTTTCAGGGTCCTCAAACAGATGAAGGAGTACAACTGCAGATAATTAAGGTATTTTATTCAATCCATTTTGGTGCAACATTCATTTGCTTTTTCTCTCTCTTTCATTTTGTAACTGAAAAAAAAAAAAAAGCAAAATATTACTGAGAGCTCATTTGCTCCATTTCTTACATTGTCCTGTGTGTCACTGCTTTCAGGGAGGCTGTCACCAGGGCAGAATTGGTGAGGAAAATGTACTTCCTGTTGGGAAAGCAGAATGTAAAGGAATATTTTAAAAATGTTTGTCCTTTCTGAGATAAACCATCTCTCAGACAAGTTGGTGCTCCTCTTAGAGGCTCGCTATGCCTACCTCCATCAGGCAGGGAATTGCCTTCAGCCCTGATAGCAGGCCCTGGAACTGTGATGCAGTGCCATGGAATGCTGTTCAAGCCTGTCTGCTCCCCTGGCCATTTTGCCAGTGTATTTTCTCAACAAGGCATAGTAATGTCTGTCAGTAGTGTGTATTCTGGTTCTGAAATCTTCTTGGGCTACTGTAGCTGAGGTTGGAAGTTAGTGAACCTTCTAGTAAACCAACTTGATATTAGTGTAGGCCTGTTGGCTCTTGTGTGGAAATGAAGCTATGGAATTTAGTACATTTTTTTGGAGGTGGAGTATCTCCCTTGATGGAAATTTAGTTTTGATAAGACCCTCCAAGAACAGCTCAGGAGAGAGCAGAGATGTGGAAGTCCTTTTGAACTTTCTTTGATTTGAAATGTTGTTGCTTGTAAAGCCTAAAAAAAAATATGTCTGTGTTTTGTAGCAAACCCAGTGATTATTCTGGAAGACACGCATGAGGAGCATTGCTGCCTGCTTGCTTAGGTTTCATTTTTACTGTGTTATGGACTTTTCTAGGCTCTTCTCACTGCAGTAACATCTCCATATATAGAAATTCATGAAGGAACAATTCTTCAAACTGTTAGAACCTGCTACAACATCTATCTAGCCAGTAAAAATCTTATTAACCAGACAACTGCCAAAGCTACCCTTACACAGATGTTAAATGTAATTTTTACACGGATGGAAAATCAAGCTGTAAGTAGCTATTACTTTTTCTCATCTCAAATGTTTAGGCTTGAAAATGACTGAAAACTTTTTTATGATTATTGTTTTTAATGAACCTGTCATTGTAGTTGCATATCTGTTGATTCGTCATGTTAGAAAACCTGTCAAATTGTGCAGTGAGGCATACTGACTGAGTTGAGAATAGAAGGTGACGTGCTCTGCTGATACCAAGGTTTCACACCATAGCTTCTGCCAAATGGCATTGGATAAACAAATGATGCTTTTCAAATAAACTTGAAGTGTATCTTTTTAATCTTATTGGCCAAGTGATTGTAGTTTCACTGTTTCCTGCTAAGACTTGAGTTCACAAAGGAACATTAGTTATCACAGACAGGATTTCCCTCAGTGTATTCTGTGCTTAGATGAACCTTTCCATATGTGTTTTCCAAGTTGCAGGAGTCCAGAGAAGCAGAGCGAACGCAGAAGCCGCAGTCCCCCACAGTGGCGGGGCCGCGGTCCCCACGGCCGGGGCAGCGGCGGCACAGCTCCTGGGCAGGCAGAGCCGGCACCGCCGGCACCGTGCTGGCCAATGGGGAGCCCGGCCGCGGGGAACCCCGCCATGGGGAGCCTGGCCCTGAGGAACCCGGCCGCGGGGAGCCCAGCCCTGAGGAACCCGGCCATGGGGAGCCCGGCCGCGGGGAGCCCGGCCGCGGGGAGCCCGGCCGCGAGGAACCCCGCCATGGGGAGCCTGGCCCTGATGAACCCGGCCGCAGGGAGCCCAGCCCTGAGGAACCCGGCCATGGGGAGCCCGGCCGCGGGGAGCCCGGCCGCGGGGAGCCCGGCCCTGAGGAACCCGGCCGCGGGGAGCCCGGCCCTGAGGAACCCGGCCGCGGGGAGCCCGGCCGCGGGGAGCCCGGCCGCGGGGAGCCCGGCCGCGGGGAGCCCGGCCCTGAGGAACCCGGCCCTGAGGAACCCGGCCGCAGGGAGCCCGGCCACGGGGAGCCCAGCCACAGGGAGCTGCAGCAGGCCCCCACCATGCTAGTGGCAGGTGAGCACAACATGGGGTCTGTTGCTTTCACTCACAGCCAACTTGTTGGAAAGTGCTCTTTGAGGCCCCTTCGAGGAGCAGTGGTGGGGTGACTGGCTCGCTTGGCTTTCCTATGTAGACTTCCAGAGTGTGCTGCCATTCTCAGCTTGTGTCTACATATAACTGCTGCAGAAAGGTTCCTGTTCTCCCTAGAATTCCAGTTAAACCATGTGTACTTTATCTATAGAGTATTGTAGTGGAATTTGACTTGAACAGGTTGACAGAGGGGAAGGAAAGGAAGAGAATTGTTGTGGTATGTGGGATGTGACAGAGCCAGTGGTAAAAATGGTGCATATTATGAAGACCATATCATCAGCACATACTGCATCTTAATTAGAAATGTTTGTAACAATTGATAAATAAAAATGACAAAACAACTGCATTAAAAATATCAGTGCTTTGATTCAAACAGCATAAAGAACATCAATGAGTATTTTTGAATGACTTCTCACAAATTATTTTCAATGAGAGCTGCTGAAAGAAACTGATAAATTTTCATGCTTCTGCCTTCGTCATGTTTTTCCTTTTAGTCCTCTTCCTAAACAAAAATACTAAATTAAAAATTCTCTCTGTGTTTCATTAGAGGAAACGATTGATGGAGGAAAGGAAATGGTTCAGGGCATCTTGGAAGATGTGGTGGATTCAGCTGTGAAAGGTAGTGAAGTCTTCTAAAGTAAAATAGTTGCATATGTATTGATTATAGAAGCATGGAAGTAATTTTTGTTACTAAGTATCTTGACAAGAACACCTACTAAGGCAGCAAGAACAGGTTTTGATTGCATCACAATATTCTTTTGCTGATAGCTGAGAAACTTTCTAGTTTACCAGTGCTACTTCTCTGCCACTCGGTGGTAAAGCTTCACAAAGTCGTGGGATAGAAAACTCTTGCATGATTTTAATCATCTTTCCATTTTCCCCTTTAGTGGCTGAAGAAAAGCAGGTAACAGAACCTGTCAAGGCTCTGCCTGCATTAGAGACTGTGGATACTCTTCTTTCTGGCTCTAGCACTGAAAATGTACAAACAAATGGGATTCCAGATGATGGGCAGTCTGTTTCCTCCACTGATAATCTGGTAAATAATTGCACTGGATGCCAATATACATCTACAGAAGAAGAAATGTTTTTATTGTGACAACTAATAGAGTGGGATTTGGCAGAAGAAAGGGACAGAAACTCGAATGTATGTGGCAGAAGAAAGGGACAGAAACTCGAATGTATGTGGCAGAAGAAAGGGACAGAAACTCCAATGTATGTACTACTCAGATTCAAAAAGGAAGCAGCAGCTGCAGTTTAAGCATATATTGAAAATACCTGTTCTAAAATTTACTATATTAGTTGTATTTTAATACTGAGTGGGGACAGAGACAAAGGGTCAGTCAACATGTGTGAAAAGATCCAGATCCCTTGTAATCCTGTTTAGGTTTAGTTTAAACTGTAGCTGATTCTCAGCCGAGCTGTGGAATCTCCTCATTGCTCTTTGTCTCACTGAGGGTCTGTGTTGCGTTTGGTATTTTCAAGGAAACAGATGTATCTGGACATCAAGCTGCTGCCAGATTTTCCCATGTTCTACAAAAGGATGCCTTCCTTGTGTTCAGGTCATTGTGCAAGCTCTCCATGAAACCGCTGGGGGAAGGACCACCAGATCCCAAGTAATGTGACAGGATTTATTATTGTGTCCTCTATGGTAGCATTTAGAGACAGTTAAGTTGCTGCTGTATAGTTGAGCAGGTGTTCAAAATCCACTTGTCAGGCCCTTGGTTTAGTTAGCTTGATTAATCTAGGATTGAAATACCTTTAAATTATTAAAAATTCAGTACTTGAGATTTTTGGGTTTTGTATAATAGGCTTATTAATCTTACCAGTTGGAGTGGCCTTGACTATAGTATTTGTGAAGCTTTTGGTGGGAGAGTGGGGAAGTGCTTAAGTAGCACTGAGATGCATTTATTAGGCTAGTCTAAGATGTTAATATTACTGAAAAAATTTCAAATTTGGATGGTAGAAGTTCAAAATTCACTTGGCTGATTTCCATCCTCTTGCCTCCTGCATTTAAATGAATCAAAATAGCAGTCATTTCTTCCTGATGTAGAAGAAATCCCACAGAGCTAATGTTGAATGCAAGTATATACTAAGAAAATACAGAAATACATTTAATGTTGAATTTTTTCTAGATCACATGAATTGCGTTCCAAGGTTGTGTCTCTCCAGCTGCTTCTCTCAGTGCTGCAGAATGCTGGTCTGGTTTTCAGGACACATGAAATGTTCATCAATGCAATCAAGCAATATCTTTGTGTAGCATTATCTAAAAATGGAGTCTCTTCTGTTCCTGATGTGTTTGAGCTCTCTCTTGCCATTTTCCTCACACTGCTTTCGAATTTTAAGACCCATTTGAAAATGCAGATTGAGGTGAGAGACTTTTATTCTATAAGTTGCATATGCTCTAGTTCTCAAAATACTGTTCTCAAGGTAAAAAGACAGCTAGAACTTCCATTTTAATGTCTTAGTTTGGTTTGCTTACTAAACTAATATATTACTACTGTATCCAAATTCTAATATGCATGAAATATTACTCTTGAAGAGAAATTACTTAACAGAAATTAATCTGTACATTTGATGTAGTTCTAATAAGTTTCAGATCCTCAAGTCCTTAATTTTATTTATTTTGCAGGTGTTCTTCAAAGAGATCTTCCTGAATATTCTAGAGACTTCTTCAAGTTCCTTTGAACACAAGTGGATGGTGATTCAGACTTTAACTAGAATTTGTGCAGGTATTTCCACTGTGTAAAAGAATCACTTCTTCTGGCAGCAGATGAAAATTATTTTGAAAAGAAATGTCACATATCATGTTTAAGTATGAAAATTTGAATTTGATCCTAGAGGGCTTGGGTTAAATGTCTGGATTCATCTGCAGTGCCTGCTCCAACTGGCTCATTCCTTTTAAAAATTCTATTGCACAGAATCCTAATACTTCCATTTCCTTTTCTTTTCAGATGCCCAGTGTGTAGTGGATATTTATGTTAACTATGATTGTGATTTAAATGCTGCTAATATATTTGAACGTCTCGTAAATGATTTATCCAAAATTGCACAGGGACGAAGTGGGCATGAATTGGGAATGACACCTTTACAGGTAAGGAGAAGAGCTTTGAAGATAAGGTACTATTGTTTCATAAACAGTGCTATCTTTGCATTGCTACAGATACTTCCAGAGGTTCATGTTTTCTGTAACCTACTGATGTTACTTGCTTTTTATTAGTTTAATAATTTGCAATTGGATGCTGAAGCAGTGCCATTTATTACTTGGTGATTTTGCTGCCTGTTTGCGCTGTGAGACCAGGCTGCTTCTGGTCTCTTTAGTTTGACTGCCAAGGGAGAGAGAGCCAAATGAGCCTTCCTCTTCCTCAGTTAAATTTCTTTCTTTCTGAAGCTCATACACCAGTGGTGCCATCTGTGGGGTTTCCTTTACACAGACTTTATGCTATATCTCCACCATAAGCATTTTATTTTTAAGATTATACTTTTCCAGTCCTTAGAGGGGAGACTATTGTAGAGACTGTTCAGCATGGTTTGTTGGTTTGATTTTTCTTTTTTTATTTTATTCTTCTTCATGTTTTAGGAACTAAGCCTGAGGAAAAAAGGACTTGAATGTTTGGTTTCTATTTTAAAATGTATGGTAGAATGGAGCAAAGACCTTTATGTGAACCCCAATCATCAGACTAGCTTGGGTAAGATTGCTTCTGTATGGAGAGACTGATTTATTTAATCAGTTCATTCTTGTGTTTGTTCACTGTTTAGAAGCTATTCAGAAGTGTGGGTGCCCGGTTTGTACCTTAACAATTTGTTTACACAAGTGAGGTATTCTACAAACAGCTGTTAGTGCTGTTGCAGTAACTGATTCTCCAAGTGTCTGTTTTGAATAACCAAGTTCTGTGGATGAGATTTAGCCAGGCCCTTGTCTCCTGTAAAGGCTGATGTAGAGCAAGACATGCAACCAGTCTTGGAGTCACTAAGTTGAAGTAGTGGAATTTCTCCATAGATGCTGCTGGTTTTCTGCCTTTTGTTGGATTATTTTAGACTTCCATCAATAGAGCATCTTCATGTAGTATAGTGCAGCCTGCCAAAAAGTATACATGGTAAAATAAGAATATTAACTCATAGATTTCTGCTTAAAAGTTCTGTAACTAAAAGCTCTTGATTGAACAAGGGTAAGTTAAGTCTCACCTTGTTTGTGAATAGGTTCATATAAACCATCTGAACAGGAAATGGCTGAAGGTAAATGCCTGGACGCTGGAGGGAGACGGAGTAGTGTCAGTTCCTTGGACTCCACTGTATCGTCGGGAGTGGGAAGTGTTGGTACCCAGACTGCTGTCCCAGATGATCCAGAGCAATTTGAAGTCATCAAGCAACAGAAGGAAATAATTGAACATGGGATAGAACTGTAAGCCCAGTATGATGGGAAAACAAAAGTTCACTTTAAATAAAATGTGTTGTTTCTTATGGTCTCACAGTCACACCTGTAGGGACACTTACAAATTGATGTTAATGCTGAAGACTGTTGCCTGCTGTTGTGAAAAACCAGTGCTGGAGGCTGTTGTAGTTAAAAGGAGTTTCATAAAATTCTGGGTGGAGTGGAAGGGGTTTTCACAGCTCTCCTTTTTACTGGCTCAGCTCCACAAGAGTGTGTACGCCTAGAGAGAAGTTGGTTTGAGGGTCACAGTTGTCTTGCAGCTCTTACATGATTTGTTGTCCTTTATTGAAATAGAGTTTGAAGAATTAAATCATTGTGCATATATGCTTTACTTCTCTTTGATTAATTTGAAGGTCTGCATGTCTGTAAATGCTAGAGAAAAGTCTTGAACAGCAACATTTTAAACATTTCATGTAGAGTGTCAATTTTTTCATGTTCAAAAAGGTGAGTTTTGGGGTTTTTCAGCAATAACTTCTAGGGTTATCAGCAACTTAGTGTACCTTATGAGGTGGAGCCTATGGTATGATACAGGTAATAGATTTGTTGCACATTCTTTAACTTTTTTCCTAACTAGAAAGAAAAGACATGGAGCTACAGCACAGAATCTTTGATTTATGAGGACTCTGTAAAACTCAAATTTTATAGGCTGTTGTATTTTTAATTGTATGTCCATTTCCCCATGTTTTTGTCTGAATAGGTTTAATAAAAAGCCAAAGAGAGGAATACAGTATCTACAGGAGCAGGGAATGCTTGGCACTACAACAGAGGACCTGGCACAATTCTTGCACCAAGAGGAACGCCTCTGCTCTGTAAGATTACATGCAGCACGTTTATACCCTTGCCCCTGCACCTTCGGCCCTGCCCCTGGTATCTGTGTGCCCCTGCTCTGGAGTTCATATCTTAGAGAAATGAGCATGCAAGGCACCTCACGGACACACCTAATGCTACAGCTACCTGCTGTTTACTTGCTGTCCCAGGCTTCTCAGTAAAGTACTGTGTTATAGTAGAGTGCTGGAGGGTTCCCCATCAATGGAATGTGCATTTTGTCTGTCCCTGGAGGCTGGAGGGAAACAGAGCAATGTCAGTTGCTGGCAGTCCCTTGCCAGCAAGGCAGGATCGTGTGCTGCAGTGGCAAAGCGTTCTCTGCTGCGTGTGCGCCTGGCCACAGTTCAGCTTTCCTTGGCACTGCAGTAATGCAGATCTTGCCTTTGGCAGTGAGGGAGGCAGGAATATGCAGACTGAGGGGGCATATCTGGGAGCCCTGTCCCTCCCTCAGCTGCTCTGCCCACGTGGCGGCGTGGCAGCTTTACAGAGCTGACAGCTGTGCAACTCTTGGCACAGAAACCCTCTTGCAGAGCTGGCACTTGGATTGCACAGTAATAACTGTCTCTTGTGTTTTTTAGACTCAAGTAGGGGAATTTCTTGGGGAAAGCAGCAAGTTTAACAAGGAAGTGATGTATGCCTATGTAGACCAGCTTGATTTCTGTGGAAAAGACTTTGTCTCTGCTCTGCGTATATTTCTGGAAGGTTTTCGTCTGCCAGGTGAAGCCCAGAAGATTGATAGATTAATGGAGAAGTTTGCTGCTAGATATATTGAATGCAACCAACGGTAATTCAAACCCTTTCTATCAGATCAGTGCCCAAAGAACATTCCCTGGCTGTACTGTTGTGTGGCCCTTAGGGGCAGGGGATTGATTAACCCCATACCAGGCCAGGAACTTTTGCAGGCTTGTGTGAGGAGGAGATCTTGCTGCTGATATTGGATAGGAAGGATACTGATGCTGTCATTTCTTTAAATCCCAAGTACTTGCTAAAAGGAATTACTGGAAAAGGAAAACCCTAAGTACATTAAAATCCAACTGCTAACAGAGACAATTTTAGATGAATGTAGATCAGTCAAGTATAAAAAACTGTATTAAGCAGTAGAAATGGCTAGAATTAACAAAAATCATGACAAAAACAACTAATAGCATGTTACAGTGCTTTTGCTTGCCTGTTAGATGTGGAACAAAATGTGTATGTGTTATTTGATACCAAATAGGCAAAGTTGCTATTGTTCCTAGTGCAATCAACACTGAAGTTTAGTCAGGCTTAATTAGTTCCCTTTCCTTAGTCTAGTTGGTGTGTCAGTGGGTTGGTTTTATATCAATCTTTATGAAACTCTGTGAGTAAAAAATAAGCTGTTATTTAACCTTTTTAAGATTATACATTACTGTTCTTTGGGTAATCGGTAGGGAATGTACTTGAAAATCTCAGTCTAGTTTTCAATATTGCAAAGATGATGCACTTCCCCATCCTTTTTATTTGTGTTTTAAACTGCTTGGGGTTTGATGCATTTCTAATGGTTAGCTTCAGGCTTTGTTGGCTCTTTGGTTGAGTCCATAGCACTTCTGGGTATTTTTCTTGCATATGGAACTAGAGCTAATGGATTGAGGAATTGGGAGTCTATAAACCTGTTTTGTTTTTTCCTCCCTCAGGCAAACACTATTTGCTAGTGCAGACACTGCCTATGTTTTGGCATACTCCATTATAATGCTGACTACAGACTTGCACAGTCCACAGGTAAAAATTTAAAAAATCCAGACTTACAGGAGTACAAAGGTCCCTGGAACTTGCATTCAAAATCTGATACCCAACTTATTCCTTCTTACAGGTAAAAAATAAAATGACAAAGGAGCAATACATTAAAATGAATCGAGGAATCAATGACAGTAAAGACCTGCCAGAAGAGTATTTATCCACAATCTATGAAGAAATAGAAGGAAAGAAAATTGCGATGAAAGAGACAAAAGAATATGCAATTACAACCAAGTGTAGTAAACCAAGTAAGAAGGAACTAGAAACTGGGAAGACCACAGTGCTCTTGAACTGTGGCAGGAACTAAGGGATGGCACAGTGGTGTGCAAAGTCCCTGTGAAAATGCCTTGGGGCAATACATAAAGTACATTTGGAATGGTTGATAGAGGTATATGGAATGAAACCGGCTCAGTTACAATTTAACACTGCCTTCCCTGGTGGGAAGAGCTGTGTAGGTGCCTCTGGCACCACTGCAGAGCAGCACTAGAACCAGATTTCTTGGGGTTTTTAAAGATGAGTGTGAGGAATAACTCGAGAGGGAAATTACTTTGAAATTACCTTTTTTTTGTGTGCTAGACTATGAGTGAGGGCTTGATTTGGGCTGGTTTTTTGTTTTCCTCCATAGCTCAGTGGCTGGGAGGTGTCATAGTCCTTGTGATAGTGTTTGAAAACCAGAGAGATTGGAGAGTTTGTCATAATCTTTAGTCATCTCTCCTTATACGGATCAAATGAGGGCTACTTTGTGTAGCATGCAGTAGAAACCAGTATCCCCAGCTGTACCCTACTTTTACTCAGAATAGCTGGTACTAATTTAATTCAAATTTGTGAATTCTGAATCTTCAGCATAGTGGTTTTCCCAGTATTTTTAAGCTGTTTGCAGGTTTTCTCAATCAAAATAGGAACAAAATTAATTTGCTTGAAAATGGAAGTTGCATCCTCTAGTATAAGGGTAAAGAAGCACTAAATTATTAATTTATTTATCATGGTGATGAGTGCTTGTTTTGTTTTGGGGATGTGAGCTTAAGAAGACATAGGGTTTTCCATCCACTTTTACAGGCAGAATGACTTAATAGAGTGTGCACCTCTGACTTGGAGCAATTAGATAATAGCATGTATTATATAGTAAAGGGCTGAAATAGTTATTTTGCACAGAATAAAGTCTTAAGTTTGGGTGTGGTTTTTAGTGCTGGATTTCCTTGCTTGCAGCCTGGGGCAGCCTCCTGACTTCTAAGATTTTGCAAGATTTCTGTCTTTAGATTTTATTTGCAAAACCTTTATTTAACATTTTGTGATGCTCAGTGTGAAGAGAAGGAATATGCTCTTGTGAGAAAAGCAAGCAATGTCTGTGTGTGGTGTTCCCCTTAGGTGTAGCTAACGAGAAGCAGCGGAGGTTGTTGTACAACTTGGAAATGGAGCAAATGGCAAAGACAGCCAAAGCCCTCATGGAGGCAGTGAGCCATGCAAAGGCACCTTTCACCAGTGCCACTCACCTGGATCATGTCAGACCCATGTTCAAAGTGAGTGTCAGGTTCTCACTGTGTCTTTGTGGTGAAGAGTTTAAAGCATGGGAAAAAAAGTGGAAAATTACTTTGAAAAGTTTGCTAATGAAACACATGGACTCTATGGATATATTTGGCTTCAGTAACCAGTGTTTTGGGCTAAAGCTGTAAGAGACCTCTGAATTTAGTTTCTTCCTCTGTTTAGCTTGTCTGGACTCCACTGCTGGCAGCATACAGTGTTGGCTTGCAGAATTGTGATGACCCAGAAGTTGCGTCGCTATGTTTGGAAGGAATACGCTGTGCCATCAGAATAGCCTGTATCTTTGGAATGCAGGTTGGTGCCAGCCTTAGCCTGGGACTCGCTGAGGCCATGTGGGCTCTGGGAGGCAGGTGAAGAATTACAAACAGCTTATACATAGGAGATGAAGTGTCTCATCTGCTTCCTTGAAATGGGAAAAGGTTTTGATGTAATCAAGCATTTCTTCAACTCTGCTTTTCTTGCTGAATCTTCTATTAAGAGTGTTTGCTGACTGGCATCCTACTCTTGTTCAGCTGGAAAGTGCTCTGACAGTGCCAGCTATCCATAGAAGAAAAAATTTGTAGGCAAGTTGCTTTCTCTGGTTCTTTGGGGACTTGATTTTTGTGCTTGTTTCTCTCTCTTGTAGCTTGAACGAGACGCTTATGTACAGGCCCTTGCTCGTTTTTCCTTGTTGACTGCCAGTTCCAGCATTACAGAAATGAAACAGAAGAACATTGATACCATTAAGACACTCATTACAGTTGCTCACACAGATGGCAATTATCTTGGCAATTCTTGGCATGAGGTAAATCTTTATTAGTTTAAATAGTGAACATGGTGTCATATTTTTTCTTCTACTATCAGCTCTCAGAACATACTCAAAAATGTGAAGAAAGTACATTATATTGTTAAGTTTTTATGTTTTTTTTCTAATATGTAGATAAAAATAATGCACTGCATTTTTTTTGAAGACCCTGTGGAAACTGTGACAATATTGTAATTTTTATGGCTGCATTTGATATAGGATTTAAATTATATAAAAAAATCTCATTTGGCTTCTGAAAATTTCTCATATAAACTATTGTATTCTTATTCATGGAAACAAAAATATTCTAGTTTACAGGTCCAGACTTGTCTTGCAATGTTTGGCAACATTTTCTTAAAGCCTATTTTCCAGGAGCAATTTTATCAGCTCTGAATCTGTGCTAAATGCTAAAAGGAGCATTTCTGCTGCATTATGTTCTCTGGCTCTAGTCTTGGGCTACATGATATGAGCCAAAATGTGCTAGAGCTGACAGATGCCTCAGACCTGGCTCACAGCACACTCTCCTGAGTGCTTGTGCCAGCCAGGGGATGTGGCTGTGGGAGAGGGAGAAGGAGACAAGCACAGCTTTGGCATTTAAACGCTCTAGGTTGGAATGTTGTTACTCAAGTGGTGATAGCTGCAATGTTTCAGTCTTTTCATCTCTAGGACAATGGAGTCTCTAGAAGATCAGCTCCAATTCATTTATAGTCTTGAATGTTGATGGTGTAAAAATAATGAAAAGGTGTCCTTTAGTAGTTAGAGATAGAAATATTAAATACAAATATATGTTAAGAATAAAAAGATGGTGGTGTGCAGAAATACAATGCTAAATTTCTTTTGGTTTCAGATCTTGAAATGTATTAGCCAGCTGGAACTGGCACAGCTCATAGGAACTGGCGTGAAAACGCGGTATTTGTCTGGCTCTGGGCGTGAGAGGGAAGGCAGCATTAAGAGCTATGCCTCTGCAGGAGAAGAGTTTATGAGCCTGGGATTAGGTAAGATTATTAATCCTGAACTTGACAAAGATGCACATACAAGTGGAGTAAGGATGTTAAAGAATCCTCAGTGTTATAGCATACTTGAATATATTTACTTGCTTCCACAGGAAGCTGTATTGGATTAATGAAACTGTGTATTCCAATATGTGTTTATAATTACCAAATCTGTTGCAACTTTAGAATTGGGTTAAGCTATTTAAAAACTACTCCACATTTATTTGTTGGAATATGTTGTTATCAAAACTGTTTTGCTGTATGAACTCATGGTTTTGTTAAAAGTGTTAATTAATAGGAAAAAAAAGCCATTTATTTTTAGGAATTAATAGATGTTTCAATTGGTTTTCCAAAGGAACTTCTTATCTTTACATGTTGGGCTTTCTGTTCCAGTTTGTATTGTTTCTGCAGTGTGTACAAGAAACAAATCATAGATTTTTGTCTTAAATTAGAGGGACAAGGCAAGTTGCATTAATCTTTGTAAAACCACTAAGGAAACAAATTAATTTTTTAAAACTTTGGAATGGATGCTATAATGATGATTACAATGAATACAGAACTGTGTTCAGCATTAACTATTTGTAGCTGACTTAGAGTTCATCTTTTAAAATAGTATTTTATCTGTTCCAATTTTATTAACAATATCATATCACCTTAATCTAATAAATATGATGTTTAGCTGTGTAATAATCTGGCAAAGGCACTATCTGCTCCATATAAATTACATGGTAGCTGGAAGCAGTAGTCACTTCTCTCTGTCTACTTGCTTGATGTTGGAGTTAACATAAAGTCATTATTTCCTAATGGCAAATACTGTTTTTTAATGAATTTTTGGCAGGGAACCTCGTTGGGAGTGGGGCTGACAAACGGCACATGGCGAGCATCCAGGAGTCTGTGGGGGAGACCAGCTCGCAGAGTGTGGTGGTAGCAGTAGACAGGTACTGACAGTGTTACCTCTGCACTCTTACCTAAATCATCATCTTTGTCATCTGCCCTTCTGAAATGTTGTCTAAAGACGTGCTTCTCTCCTAAACTATGTGTTGGAATGGGAGTTCTTAGTAACCACTGGTGCAATGGTGCAAGTCTGCACAATCATATATTCAGACTTGCAGTGTTTATTCTAACCATGAGCATGTCTCTTACCACATCAAAGTCCAGGACATTTGGGAATGTTCTCTGCTTTATTAGTGTTCTATGTGGACCACTATCAGCAGTCTGAACTCCTCTCAAGATCAAACAGCTGAAGGGCAAGAAGGGACAAGAGTGCATCCATAGTCTTTCTCCTGTCTGTTTTGACAGCCACAGCTGACCATATTCTTAGAGGATATAAAGATCAAAGGTGGCTGATAACCAGTAAAGTCTTGTAGCAAAGCTTTCTGTCTGTTTATTGTCCCCATGAAATTTAACACGCTGTCACCCAAATGAGTGTTCCAGTATAACTTGGCCTGGGTAAACTTGTGAGCCTGTGCCTGTTGCTGCAGTGGCATAGGAGCATGGTAGACTGTGACTGTGGCAGGAAAGAGGATGCTTAGACTAAGGAAAGATGCATGTACTGCTGCCAAGGAGCAAGAGTACAAGAGGTGCAGAGTTCATGGCACGGAGGAGTGTGACATACGTCCAGATGTGCTGACCTTTTGCTGCAGCTCTGAGCTGTAACCAATTCTTGCGGATGTGCAGCTGAAACTCCAACTCCTGTATTTGTTGTAGGATATTCACGGGCTCCACGAGGCTGGACGGGAATGCCATAGGTAGGTATGGGGGGCTCCAGGGCCCCTGGCACAGGAGCAGCCTGGCTCACAGCAGGCCTCTCCCCTGCAGTCGACTTTGTGCGGTGGCTGTGTGCTGTGTCCATGGACGAGCTGGCGTCCCCGCACCACCCGCGCATGTTCAGCCTGCAGAAGATCGTGGAGATCTCCTATTATAACATGAACCGCATCAGGCTGCAGTGGTCGAGGATTTGGCATGTGATTGGAGATCACTTCAATAAGGTACTCTTTAAACTTATGTTACACAATATGCATAAATAGTGAGACTTCTTTAATCAGCTTTCTGTGGTTTTAGTGGCTTGAATTCTGATATACAAAAAAATTCTATTCGAGGCACCTAAAAGAAGCACCTACTTAAAAATCTAAAGTGTACAAATATAAATGTTTATAGGAATGATCTTTAATTATATAATCTTCATTATATCATTTGGTATTTTTGTAATTTTTCTTTGTCTTTTCCTTCAGATAAAATGCCAAGTTAGTTTTCCTTTGAAATGTACACAAGTGAACAACAGTTGTTTTCCTTGGGAAATTGAATCATGTTAGGATGAGATTTTTAACCAAAGATTCAATTTATTTTATTGTGCTGTGTTTTAATTTTAGCATCTAGCTGGCTATTACAATTTTGCTTGATGCATTCAAAATCTATGGGTCTGTTTAGATGGATGAAATGACAGAAAGCCCCCTTCAACAAGAAGCCCTTCTTTCCCAAGCATCAGAATACTAGAATGTGCTAGCAGTGTTTAGTGGGCTGAGATGGAACTTGAGTGACGAATTTGTTACTCATATAAATGACACATTAATTGATAAGTGTTTGAAAATATGCTTTTCTTCTAGGTTGGGTGTAACCCTAATGAAGATGTTGCCATCTTTGCTGTAGACTCATTAAGGCAGCTGTCAATGAAATTTCTTGAGAAGGGAGAGTTAGCCAACTTCCGCTTCCAGAAAGACTTCCTAAGGCCTTTTGAGCATATTATGAAGAAAAACAGGTGTGAGGCACTGCAATTTCTGCTTTAGCTTTAGTCCCACTTAAGGATGTCACTTGGTATGGGTCATGGTCATGTACAGGGAAGTGGGGGAGTTACTTTGTGCCAGTGTAAAGTAGTCTTGCATTCCTTTCTCTTTTTTTTTTTTTAAGATCTCCGACTATTCGAGACATGGTGATCCGCTGTATTGCTCAGATGGTGAACTCTCAAGCCGGTAACATTCGTTCTGGCTGGAAAAATATCTTTGCTGTCTTTCATCAGGCAGCATCAGACCACGATGGGAATATCGTAGAGCTGGCCTTTCAGACTACAGCACACATAGTTAGTAAGTAATGCTTGACAGGTGCATGCACCCAAATTGGTCTGCTCTGAGTCAGCTTCAAAAGGCTCATCTGAATAAGGCTTTTGCATTTCCAGGCAAATAAACACACAACCTTGCAGCCACACTGTTTAAACTCTGCAGCTGAGTCCTACCCTTTAAGTCTCCAGAATGCTATGGACAGGACAAACTAGATACAGCTATTCTGCTGTAGAACTTAGGAATGTGGTTGGTGAGGTGGCACAGGGGAGAATGCAGGAGAGGGCAAAGAACCATATTTAATGTAGAAGATCTGGCTCTTTTGTGTCTGTCTGTTCCATAGCAGTATGCCATGGGTGACGTGCCTAGATTGATGCAGTTTATGTATGGATTTTAATAGCAGTAATTTTTAAAAAGTGTATTTGTTTGTTCTTCACAGCAAATATTTTTCAGCAGCATTTTCCAGCAGCAATTGACTCATTTCAAGATGCAGTAAAATGCCTCTCTGAGTTTGCCTGTAATGTTGCCTTCCCGGACACCAGCATGGAAGCCATCAGGCTTATTCGCTATTGTGCAAAATACGTCTCAGAAAGACCGCAGGTATATTTGAATTTGTACCCCTGCTGCGTTTTCATACTCTCTTTATCTGTTAAATGGAGATCAATTACTAAGAAAGAGCTTTCATACTCAAACTTCAATTGCAAGTGTTTGTTTTCAAAGCTTATTTGGATTAAGGAGAAATTTTGGTATTATGTAAGCAATAAACTAGGGCTGGTTAAGTAATGTTAAGTCTTGTAAGTCCAAATGGGAAATAACTGAATTAAATAGTCTTTGGGGTTTTTTTGTTTTGTTTTGTGTGGGGGTTTTTTTGTTTGTTTTTGTTTGTTTGTTTGTTTGTTTTGTTCTTGTGGTATTAAGATGACTTGGAAAGCAGTGCTTCCTGTTCTGTCACCCTAGTTATGTCTAGTGCAGTTGGTTACAAATGTGTATTCTTCTCCATCAGTGTGTTGAGTGAATACTGAATGTAACAGTCACCAGCTGAGGAGAGCCTGGAGTTACATTGCAGTTGCATGTCCCCAGTGCACGCCGCATTCAGCGTACCAGAGACTTGTAGAACTGCTTTCTGCCAATTTTAGGTTTCCTTTTTACATGTTTTGATTTAACAGTTGTTTGTCACTGTTAAAGTAGCTTTCTAAGAAGACCAAACCTCAGCAACTTGTAAGGCCTTTACCTGGACTGAAGGAAAAACAGATTGAAGTATTTATTTCCATATATTATTTTCTAGTATTTTTGCAAATAATTACATCTCAGAGCTATACTTACATTTTGCAGAATTGGAGTGTTACAGTACGAACTAAGCTAACTTTCCAAGTTTCTCTGTACCACTGGTAGTATCTAAATTTGTTACATATAAAGATTTTTAAGATAATTTTTTCTTTAAATCTTTTTTCCTACTGATCTTCAAGGTATTAAGAGAATACACAAGTGATGACATGAATGTGGCTCCTGGGGACAGAGTGTGGGTCAGAGGATGGTTTCCTATTTTGTTTGAACTTTCTTGTATCATCAATCGTTGCAAGTTAGATGTTCGTACAAGGTAATAAAACTTCTCTTTTTTCCTTTTTTCTTTTAATTCATGCAGTGAAGATATCACAGGAACACATTTTAACATCTGTTCCTATGCTTGTTTGGGTTTGTTTATAGAGGCTTAACAGTGATGTTTGAAATCATGAAGAGTTACGGGCATACCTTTGAAAGGCACTGGTGGCAAGACCTGTTTAGAATTGTGTTTCGGATTTTTGATAATATGAAACTCCCTGAGCAACAAACAGAGGTAAAACCAACAAAAAAAAAACCCAAAAAGCAAGCATTCCCTAGAGCTGTCTTTTTAAGAACTTGCACATCTGAGTCAGCAGTTTCTATTGACATCAGATATGGCCACCCCATACTGCCCCAGACTTAACTAAACACATTCTGTATTCCTTCAAATTCTGTGGCATGAATGGAACTTGCCACAGTCCAGTGACCTGTGTGTGTGTCCATCTGATTGTTTTCAAGAAGAATGTTCTCCCTCTGTTATGAACATGTACAGTTTTCTGACCAGTGTTCATGTGGCCAGCTGAGTGCTTCTGATAAGACATCTGTGGTCATGAGGCTTTAGTTCTGAGTTCTCCTCTCCTCAGAGCTGTGTCTCTTGTTGACCAGCCATATAAGCCAAGTGTTGTAATCATGGAAGAATCCCCATAAAACCAAAGACTTTTCATTTTCTGTCCCAGAAATCAGAGTGGATGACCACGACGTGCAACCACGCCCTTTATGCCATCTGTGATGTGTTCACACAGTTCTATGAAGCTTTGCACGAGATCCTTCTTCCTGACATACTTGCACAGTTACACTGGTGTGTAAAACAAGGTACCTTATCTACCTGTGTCTTCTGATTAAATGTAGTTTTAAATGGTCATTACTTAAGAAGGGGAAGGTTAACTGAATTTTGGAAGAATAAAAGTTCCCATTAGGACAATCTATGTTGCAGTAGATAGATGCAGTATCTTGAATATTTGAGCATCAATCTTTTTATTGAGTTAGGCAACTTTTTTGTTACTGTGTTCATAAGGGGCTCATGGTGTTCCTGTGACACTGCAAAAGCTTTTGGAGAGTGGGTCAGTCTTCTGAACCTTCTGCCAACAAGCTTTTGTAGTTTGACTGCAGCGATACGTTACCTCCTTTATTTACACATATAGATACATGCATGCATTCTGATTTTTTTTCTTTTTTATTATTTGCTGGCACCTGCTTCTTCCTCCTTCTCCCAACCAACGAGTACTTCTAAATGCAGCTTTGTAAAGAACACGTTTTCTTTCTGGCTCCAAGTCTTACACATGAAATCCTGCATCTTACTACCATGGAATATCGGGGGACGATCTTGCAGTAAATCCTAAGTTTCTGATTGCTGCTTTTCCTTCCTTTTTCTCACTCTCTGCTTCCCTTTTGCTTCTGCCCTGTCTTTTGTCTTCCCTAGTTGTATTTCCATCTCATGAAGGCTATTTTGAAAGTCTTTTTTTTATTCAGTAGGTTCTTCAGCTTCATATTGTTGTAACATACTGTATAGGTAGGTTTTGAGCCAAGAGACTGTGCATTTCACAGTATTGGTAAAAAATTTTAATGGAGCAGTAATAGGGAATACTTAATTTTTCCTTGATACTGTACAAGTTGATAAATATGGAACATTTCTTTTACAGATAATGAGCAGTTGGCACGATCAGGTACAAACTGCCTGGAAAACCTGGTAATACTCAATGGACAGAAATTCAGCCCTGAAGTCTGGGGCCAGACATGCAACTGTATGCTAGAAATCTTCAAAACAACTATTCCTCATGTGTAAGTTCATAAGTTTAATTCTTATCTCGATACCCAATTCTAAAGCAACAATATTTACCTTTTTTGGTTTTTTTTCTGTTTTGTTTGATTTTTGTTTGACGTTTTTTGTTGTTTTGTTTCTTTAACTCTTCGAAGCTTGCTGACATGGAAGCCTGTAGGAATGGAGGAAGATTCATCTGAAAAACACTTGGTAAGAGTTAACTCAGGGTGATAAATTGACTTGAAGAGTTTTGTGTTAGGTTAGCTTTTGAAATATTTGTTGTAGTCAATATACTTGTCAAGGAATTGATAGTAGATTGTGTTTAGTGTTACTGTAAAAATGATATGAAGAATGGATGCAGAAAGCCTTTGAATCTAGGATTAGAGAAGTCCTCTGAAAAGTGATAGCTGGTTGGAAGTTAGTGTTTTGGATTGCTGGAATTGCTCTGCACTCTCTTCTAGGATTTGGACCTAGATCACCAGTCTTTAAGCAGCATGGATAAAAATGCTTCTGAAAGAGGACAAAGCCAATATTCAAATCCAACAGATGAGAGCTGGAAAGGTGGTCCTTACACAAGTAAGGAAAACATCCAAGCTTTTTCAATGCACCTTTATAGCCAGACTCAATTCACTTCTGTAGCTCTCTACAGAAAGTTTTGGGGCAGAGGGATAAGTCTTTGCCATTTGTGTTTATGTCTTGCAGTGAGATTTTCTCTGTAGAAGATAATTCACAGCATTGCTAAATATCAAATTATTAAGGGGAATGTCATATTTTGCTAGGTTGCTGTAAGTGAATCATCATTAATTGCTTCTGAAACTTCTGTTGCTCCATTTCATTAGACCAGAAACTATTTGCTGGCCTCCTGATCAAGTGTGTGGTACAGCTGGAGTTGATACAGACCATTGACAACATAGTGTTCTATCCAGCAACAAGCAAGAAGGAAGATGCTGAGCACATGGCTGCAGCTCAGGTACCATCAGACTTACTTGTAACCTTGTGGTGACAGTAAAGTACAAACTGTGGAACACTCTGACATGTTCACAAAATAGTGTCTTCTCCTGACTTTTATCATTACCCCGAATGCGTGTGTAAACTACTTTAAGTTGTGATTTTTTTATCTGCCTCCAGTGTTGCCTGTTGCCCTGCCTGTTGTAGTATTCTATTACCTTACTTTTTATTATCAGTGTAATAGATTATAGTTGTTTTATCATGAATACATACTATCAAAAGTGGTTTTTGTTTGTTTGGGGGAAAGCATTCTTTTCTGCTCATTAGACTGAGTGTCTTCATTTAGCCACAGCTGAAGCTCTGCTCAGTCTCTCAGTCTCTGGATATTTGCACTGGAAGTGTTGCAGAAGTTGAACTTCAGCAAGGTCAATGGTCAAGATTTCATTCATTGCTGGCTTCAGAGATGTCCCTGTCCCTGAAAGTTCTGATTCTGGGTAGTAGCTCTGTTAGTAAAGCTGTAAGCTGGAAGTTCTGGCTAGTGCGTTCAGGTAGTGTTTTGGGGATGGTATAGTTAAATTCCTACTGAAATTAGCTAAAAATATTGACCAATTTAATTAAATTTGACATGAGCCAAAGCTGAGGAATTTCTACACTAGGCAAGATTTAAACCCACACTGTTCTTGTTGTTCATTTTGATGTTTTTAGAATTTAACAGACCTACCCAGTCAGCTTGTAGAGAAGAGGAAATGTTCTGTACTGTATTGCTGTGACTGCAATGTTTCAATAAGAGAGTTGTTCCCTCACTCTTGAGTCTTATTTTCTTATTAGTTACCAGGATAGATCATAACTTCTCTCTTCTTAAGTACCCCACTAAGAAGAATACAGCTCTGGTCTTTGACAGGACCACCCTGCTGTGTTGTGCTGCACTAATACTGCATTGCACCTATAAATGAATTAGAGTTACTGGAGTTTACAGCAACTCTCTCTCTGTCCCTCTCCCCCTGCTCTTTAGCGAGACACGCTGGATGCAGTTATCCACATTGACACAGAAGACCAAGGAATGTATAAATATATGTCTTCACATCACCTTTTTAAGTTACTGGATTGTCTGCAAGAGTCTCACTCATTTTCAAAAGCCTTTAATTCAAATTATGAGCAACGAACTGTGTTATGGAGAGCAGGTGAGGTTTTTATTTTTATTTGATAAAAATGCTGAACTACACTTCTAACTTTAAGTATCATGACACAACAATGTGCCATTGCAATCACCTCTAGAGTTTATTGGACAGTTGCATGCATTTATTGCTTGACTCCTTCCTGATGACTTGAATAATTCTGTTTGCTAAATTATCTGCTTTTTTTGGTTAAAGTAGAGCTGCACAGCTGGTACTGCTGTAGTTAAGTATCTTTATAAATAAATCAGAACTCAATCAAAATCAAGGAGGAGGAAATACTGTCTGGACAAGGAATCATTACTGGTCACAGTAGTGCAGATATTATTGATAAAATTTATTTTTGGCTAGTAATGCCAGCTTTGGATGATCCCTCTTGTCCTGTGTGGGACTGATTTCTAGGGTTCAAGGGTAAATCAAAACCCAATCTCCTAAAACAAGAGACCAGCAGCCTGGCATGCTGCCTGAGGATCCTGTTCCGGATGTACGTGGACGAGAGCCGGCGGGAGGCCTGGGACGCGGTCCAGCGGCGGCTGCTCAGGTGGGACAGCCCTGCCCTGCTGGGCACAGCCCAGCCCAGCCCTGCCCTGCTGGGGACAGCCCAGCCCTGCCCTGCCCTGCCCTGCTGGGGACAGCCCAGCCCAGCCCTGCTGGGGACAGCCCAGCCCTGCCCTGCTGGGGACAGCCCAGCCCTGCCCGGGGGGACAGCCCAGCCCTGCTGAGGACAGCCCAGCCCTGCCCTGCCCTGCTGGGGACAGCCCAGCCCTGCCCTGCTGGGGACAGCCCAGCCCTGCCCGGGGGGACAGCCCAGCCCTGCCCGGGGGGACAGCCCAGCCCAGCCCAGCCCTGCCCTGCTGGGGACAGCCCAGCCCAGCCCAGCCCTGCCCTGCTGGGGACAGCCCAGCCCTGCCCTGCTGGGGACAGCCCAGCCCTGCCCGGGGGGACAGCCCAGCTCTGCCCGGGGGGACAGCCCAGCCCTGCCCGGGGGGACAGCCCAGCCCTGCCCTGCTGGGGACAGCCCAGCCCTGCCCTGCTGGGGACAGCCCAGCCCTGCCCTGCCCTGCTGGGGACAGCCCTGCCCAGCCCTGCTGGGGACAGCCCTGCCCAGCCCTGCTGGGGACAGCCCAGCCCAGCCCAGCCCTGCTGGGGACAGCCCAGCCCTGCCCGGGGAGATCTTTTTTAAACCAGTCAAAATTTGGAGGGAGAGCTCTCTCGTGGTGCTGTTGCCTAAGCTGTCCCAATGTCAGGGTCAGGAAATAATGTTTGCAGGTTGAAAGTGACAATGCTTCAATTACAAAATGTTTATCTGGCAGATTAATTTTCCTTTTCCTTCCCTGTCACCAAGTATTTCCATTCAGTTACATGAAAAGTATTTCATTTCAGTCATCTGGAACAATTCCTGTACCAGAAAAAGCAAATTTGTGTAGTTAAAGTTGTTGCATGTGATTGAAAACTTTCCCATGGAAGTGCATCTTGCTTGAAAACAAAGTACACTGAGAGGACAAACAGATCATGTAATCTAAAACTTTATAAGGGTTTTCTTTATGGTTTGTGTGAACTGTGCCATCTCTGCAGTGTGTGCAGTGAAGCCCTGGCGTATTTTATTACTGTCAACTCGGAAAGCCACAGAGAAGCCTGGACCAATCTCCTGCTGTTGCTTTTAACAAAAACACTAAAAATCAGTGATGATAAGGTAAGAATGGGCTGGAAGTCATGTTTACTTTTGGGTATGTTTTTCATTCCTGCTTCAACCTGAGTTCAGTCTTTATTTCCATCCAGATTGGAGGTGGGCCGTTCCTCATAGTGAGTGCTCTCCTTGCAATGCAGCAGTAGCAGCTCCACTGTCTGCAGGCATTCTGCATTGTGGAAATGAGGCTGCATCCATGCAATTCCCAGTGGTGTGGGAATGTGGATAGAATTACTGAACATTGTGCTTTTTCATATAAAAGCACAATGAGTGTGCAGTAAGGGAGAGGCTAATGCTGTATTACAGCCACACAGGAATGGTAAGGGTGAATTTCACGCCTGTAAAATTGGAATTCCAGTTTCCTTGGCCATCTTGGCAAGAATAATTTTCACGATCTTGGCCCTTTAGAGGAAAACCAAATATTCATGTTGCTACAGATAGGCTCTGGCACTCCCTCTGGGCTGAGAAGTCACAAAACCCTGACTCTGTCTAGGGGGTAACACCAGAGCAGGCCCTGCGTGCGCTGCTGCCGCAAACAACACGGATCTCAGTGCCCTTGGGCCTTCGGGAGGGCTTGGGTGAGACCTGGGGTTCTAACAAGTTGCTGTAGCCATGAATGTGTCAACGTGTTTTATTTTGCTCTAGCAGTCGAGAATGACGCCCTGTTTCTGTGTCTTGGCTAGTTCAGGGCACACGCTTCCACCTATTACCCGTACCTGTGTGAGATCATGCAGTTCGACCTGATCCCCGAGCTGCGGGCGGTGCTGCGCAAGTTCTTCCTGCGCATCGGGCTGGTGTTCAACATCTGCATCACGGGCGAGCAGGCGCGCGCAGCTGGCACCAGCCTGCCTTCCTGGTAGCTCCCAGTGAGGCTCTTACACCAGCCTGTGCGGAAAGCTGTGTCCAGAGATGGATTGAAGTGGATGGGAAAAAATGGGACCCTGCTGTATCACCACAGGAGCAAGTTATTCTTCCCACAAAGGCATTTGGGAACGAGGAAAATAATCCTGTTCTGTCCATCCTACAGAAGTGTCAGCAGTTTAATTTAAATTATTGCTTACAGAGTCAATACAGTAGGTGTGCGGTCTCTTTGTTTCAATGCTAATCATTTGTATGATCCAGTATGTCTCTTCTAGTCCTTTATGCACTGCTCAGTCTTTCATCCCAGCTAGAGCTGATAAATCAGCTGGGTATCTCCACAGCCATTATGCCCCTTGGAACTAATGACTGTATTTGTGTAGCCTTGTGATGTTGGCAAGTGTTCATAATAAACTTGACTGTGGTGGCCAGTGACCACCCGAGATCCCTCTGGGTTTTCCTTTGTGTCCTGGACCAGGCCAGGCAGGGCACTGGGCTCTTGAAGTGGACAGCCTGGAGGATATTCGGAGAAGGTTTTCCTCCTGTTTAGCAAATGACTTAATTTTTTTTTAATATCAGTACTGCATCTTCTGAGACTTATTTTTAGTTTTAGGGGAGATTTTACATCAGGAGCACCAATAGCATCTACTCCTTTAGCTTATTAGGCTTGAGTTAAAGGCAATTTAAGAAAATGAAAAGGAATGCCTTTTCCTTTCATATAGTGGCAGATCATAGAACATACACAGGAACATCAAAAACAAGGCTCAGAAGAAATAAACCTACCTTTTTGACCCTTGAATATAATTTAGCAGTAATGGTGATTGATTAGCAAAAAGTCCAATCCTTAACACAACTTTGCCTCCTTTTACTGCAGATCTGCAAGTTCTGATTTGTCATTTTGTGCAAATGAGTTTTGTTCTCAACTCTTAGTTCCTAGTGGCATCTAAAAAACCCGGAATTTCCAAAAAACTGCTCTAGCAAAATTAAACAAGTTCATTCACATGCTCTAAGGTAACAACACAATTCTGTGCTTTGAAGGCTTTCTGAGAAGCAAAATGTGACATGACACCACAGCTTTGTTTGTCCAAGAGAATTTTCTTCCCTTGAAATGCATCACGTTTCTGTGACAATGTTTCTATGACAGGATGCTGTCTTGACCTTTGAAATAATTTTAAATTTCAAGTTTCAAAACTTTTCTAAACCAGGAAAGTATGGCAGGATGAGAGGTTCCACTTCCTAAAATAATGCAAAGTAGTATTAACTGCTGTGCTATCCAGAGTAGCAAACTCAAAATATTAACAGTATTGAAAGAAAAAAACAAACCAACAAAGAGCAACAACGGCCTACCTACTTGAGTGGAACTAAGTGTATAACATTACTTTGTTTTTTGAGTTGAGTTTCCTGGTAGGATGGCCTCAGGTGAGGTTGTCTTTGGATATGCTGCTCTGAGCTGCTGGGAATGTGCTGTCTTTGGTGGTTTTTTGTTTGTTTGTTTGTTTTTGGTTGTTGTTGTATTTGGTTGCTTGGTTTGTTTTTTGTGATCTTTTTCCCAAAGGGTTTTTATGGTGCTCCTCAATACATCAGTTTGTCCTGTGTAAGCATTGTTTGGGAAAGGTTTTACAGTCAGTAGTAGTGACAAAGCTTTCACAATTTATTTTCACTTTTTATTTTTAACCAAAGAAGAGTGGTAGTTGTGGTTCTTTGACTTTTAAATGCCCATTAGGTTAAATCTATACACTGTTATTTAGTAGAAGGGAGTGAATGTCTATATATGAAAATAGGAGAAGACTGAAAAATAAGGAATGCTGGTATTTAACTTGCTGCATTTGAAATATCCTTTTGTGTTGCATCTCGTGTAGCTGCTCATTCCCTGGGAATGTCACTGCATTGGGTACTGCAGAAAATGAAGTATTTATTTTAATTCTATTTAAATCTGTAATAATATGCTATTCCTTTTCTTCTGGTTGTAGGTAGTCCTAAGAAAAATATTTGAACCATTATTTTTCAGATTTGGAATGTGTCACTGCCTCATGGAATGTGTTCCCTCATGTCCCATCAGACACACCTGGCCCAGCTGCATGTGTCACAGGTTTGAAAGCCCTACAGTCATGTCTTGAAAAAAGTCTCAATTTTGAGGTCTTAAATGACTTCACAGTTGCTTCATGGGCTTTCTTTAGTGTAAGGAGCAGCATTTGTAGTCTCTCTCTGCACATAGGATAAGGATATTTAATCCATGCTTCCTTTCAGCCTTTGGTCTGAGACTGTTCTTCTCCTTAGAGAAAAGCTTTTGTTGTATTTATACCAGTTACAGACTGCTGAAGTTGGGTATGTGATATATCCAACCATCCCAGGGCCTGCAGAGCATGAAGGAGAAGGGGCCTGGGATGCAATTGCATTGCCAGAGCCCAACCCTGTCCCATTCCTGCAGGCCCTGTCCCCAGCACAGCAATAATCAAACAATCAGGGGGTGCTCAGCTTCCTCCACAGCACTCGTGGGTTTTCCTCAGAGAGTCAGGAAGGGCCAAACCCACCTCCATCCCAGCTCAGCTCAGCCCCTGCACTGGTGCCAGCTGGTTCCTCCATCCCAGCACAGCTCAGCCCTCACAGCTGGCTCTGTGGAGAGCAGGACTGTGCAGTCACCCCTTGGATGGGCTCTGCGACAGAGGGACTGCAGCTCACCCACCTGCAATGGCAGAAATCCTGCAGACTCCATGGCTTTGTTGTTATTTGAGTCATTTCAGGCCTCGCGAGGGAAGGGAGGAGGAGAGGATGCTAATGAGGAAAACCCTAAACCCTCCCTTTTGTGGTGATTAAAAACTCCCTTCATGTTGCCTCTGTTGTGTCTTACCGTCCAGAAAAAGGTTGTTTTTACAGCAGTTTGTTATCCATGTCTGGTACCTCACATTCTAAACTGCAAACAGAACAATCTAAACCGATGTCCACTACTACAACCAACACCCCCTCAGGTTTTAGCTCAGTCTTAATATTCAGGAAAAAAATTAAAAATAGTAGCTCTGTCAAAAGTGCATCTCCCTTTAATCTGTGACTTCAGTTTGTTCAGCACCTTTGTTTAAAACGTATGTTTTCACATATTTAAAATGCCTGAGTTTTAATATCTCTGTATTAAGTGCATTTACTATCAATAATTTAAAGACTATTCCTTGCCCATGGATGTATAGAGTTCTGGGAGAATACCAAAATTATATAATATGAAAAACTATGTAAAGTTTTCTACATGAAAATACAATGTACAATAGTTATAATACTCCATGCTTTAATCAAGTGATAAATCAATAAAGTTTTACGAAGTGTTCCTTTTTTGTTCCAAGCGCTTCCTTAAGCGGCTCAGAGGCTTCGGCGCCACTCGGGCTTCTCTGCGGGGTTGGGGGGTTCCGGTTCGTGTTTTATACCGCACTCCGTCCTCGTCGCTGTTCCACCGCGGGGCCAGGCCCGTTCCCTTGACAGTGCAGGCGCTCGGACCGGGCCCCGCTCGCCCCGGTCCCGGGGCTCCGGCCCGGCCCCGCTCACCCCCGGCCCCGCTCGCCCCGGTCCCGGGGCTCGAGGCGGGGCGAGGCCGCCGCGCTACGGGAGGCGCCGCGGGGCCTTGTGGGAAGGGCCCAGCCATTGGCCGCCGCCCATTGAGCGCGCCGCGGATTGGCTGCCGGCGGCGCGCCCGGGGCCCACGCGGGCGCTGATTGGCCGGACCGCAGCGCGATGTCACCGCCCCGCGCGATGCGGTCACGGAGCCGCCGCCGCGCCCTCGCCCGGCGGTTTGAATGTGAAGCGCAGCCGGAGCGCTCGGAGCCGCCGCCGCCGCCGCTGCCGCCGGGGGGGAGCCGCCAGGTAAGCCCGGGATGCGCTGCCCCGCAGGGCGATAGGGCTGGGGCGGCCCCGTGCCCCGGTGGCACCGCGGCCGCCCGCGTGCCAACTCCGCGCTGCGCTCGGCGCTGGGCCCGCGGCGCGGCCACAGGCGCAGCGCACCATGCTGGGCCCTTCCGCCCGCCTCTCGCGGCCCGTGATTGGTCCGAGGCCGCTGGGTCTGCACTGCCTGCGCCCCTCATTGGCTGCAGCAGCTGTCAGTCCGGGCTGCCGCGGGGGAGGGGGACCGAGTTAGTCTGAGGGGTCTGGGGCGGCCCGGGGTCTCTCCCGGTCCCGGCCCCGCCGCCCCGCCTGGCCCGTCCCGGCGCTCTCTCTGCAGGGGCCGCCGCAGGAGGCTGCCGGAGCGGAGCAGGCGCGGTCCGGCGCCGGGACGGACGCAGCCGCCCCGAACCTTCCGCGGGTGAACCGCCCGGCGGGCCGCGGGAGGGCGCGGGGCCGCTCCCCGCCGCAGAGTCGCGAGCGGCTCCGGCACGGCCTGGCCTCGCGGTTCGCGGGCGGGGACGCGGGGCCGGTCCCGCTGCCGCCGGCCCTGGCGCTGCTGTCCCAGGCCCGCGCTTTGGGGAAGCGGGAAATGCCCCGGGATCCTCAGAGCGCTGCCCGGATGGCTTTTCCCATCGGATCTGGCTCCTGAACGTTGTTCGGCGCTGGGAGGTGTTCGGGCAGTGCTGGATGAGGGTTGCACTTGTGTGAAGCTCTTCCCGGTCCGCGCCCCAGGGGCACGGCCGCGTTCTGCTAGGTTTGGGTTTCTTTGTAAGTGAGCTGCATTAATTTGACTAAAGTTAGTGATGTATTAAGCACACCATATGAATTTTCTGAGGCCTTTTCTCCAGACACACGGTACAACCCAACACAAAGCATCATATCACTCCAGCTAAAGTACCACACCAATGTTTTTCGTACTGGAAAACAAACATGAAGAGCTAGAGGAAGAGAAGGAAATAAGCATGTGTAGGTAACAGGTCAAAATATGTTGGTGGGTGTGAATTGGTGAACAAGACTATGGACAAGTAAACCCCAAAAGCACGGGGGAGCATGGGAGAGGACTGTTCAGGTAGATTTTTACTTCTTGCAAACTATATTAAGATCTGATTTGCTTATTAGCATTAATTTAATTTAAGAGGATACTGCTGCTGTCTTTTTAAATTATATAGATGCCATAACTGACATAAAAACTGTGTCATTAAAACTCACTGCCTTTGCAGGCATGCTTGTACAGAACTGTTTCTTGCACTGGTGATCAGCACGAAACAACTGCAAAGTGGGACAGATAAATTTCGCTCAGTTGTACTAAATAGAAACTCCAGAGGAAAAATGGAAACATTTGTTTCCTCATAACCTTTGTAGGGAGTGAACTGTGCTGCTGGTGGTGGGAAGGACGGGCAGGATCAATGATGATGTCCAGAGGAGCATCTCCATTAAAGCACATCCTACTGTCATTGTATTGCTGTAATTTTAATTATTCCAGTGCAGGCTGTGAAGTAAATATAAGAATATGTGTGGGAGAATTACTAGAGAGGAGCAATATGGACTTATTGCAGACTTATTCTGTAAAAAGTATTGCATTTAAATTAGCCCCCACTCTAGTCTGAACTAATTTTACAGGAAGGATAAACTAATTGGCTTTGAACAGTCTTTTGTCTCTTTTTTAAAAAAAGTATCTTCTTTTGAGATTTTTCTTTTATAAGGAGGTTTTGAATTTTTTGAAAAAGCTTTGACTCTTCAACACACTTTGAATTGTTTTGTTTACAATTATGTCGGGCAGGACTGTTCAGCCTGTTTCAGGCAGGAGCAGTTTCTGGGGCTGGCAGCAGAACAAAAGCAGAGCCAAGTTCCTGTTGTCCTGAAAGGGCAGGAGATCAGCTTTTGGCTGTACCTGTTTGTGTCTGCGGGATGCGTACGCCTTTTCTGGACTCTGGGGTCTGCAAACCAGACACTAGCAGCTGCCTGTAGCTTGAGAGCTGGGATGTTTGCTGTGCCTGGTGCACCCTGGCTGGGACTGTGTTCCTGAGCTATTGTCCCAAAGAGCTGCTGTTGCTTCTGTGGGATCTGATTTTAGATGGGTGGCTTTAGGATAGATTTTTCTGATCTCTGGTTGTAACAAAACTACTTGTGGGTTTTAGGTTCTGCCAAAATGGAGCTCAGTGATGCCAATTTACAAACTTTAACTGAATATCTAAAGAAAACACTAGATCCAGATCCTGCCATAAGGCGTCCTGGTAAGTGATTCTCATGATTGTGAACAAAAAAAGTTCTGTTTCTTTTTGTCTCTCCCGTCTCTGTGTAGCAAACTGCAGTGGATATTTATGCAATAACCTCTTTACATAACTTCTCAGTATCCTTTTAAAATGAAACCCCAGAAAACACTAATGAAGGGTAGATATAAATAGAAATAATTTTATCTGCTTTTTGTGATTTTGTTTTTCTGTATTTTGCTCTTTTTTTTTCTTTGCACTGTTGTTATTTAAAACAGTGCTGCTGTTCCCAACAAGTGAGGATTTACGTCTCTTGGGTTGTGGCTTTTCCAAGGGTGAGGAGGCAGAATTTCCTCATCCTGCTGGGGATCCAGAGCTGTTGTTGACAGCAGGAGCGCTGGGGAGCAAAGAAACTGTGATAACTTTTGTCAGACATGTTCCTGTGAAGCTCTGGGAAGTGTTTGTGTTGGGTATCTTAAACAGACACTTGAGGAATCGTAGGATTCCCATTAGAGAAAGCAGCTGAGCTTTTGCTAACCGCGGTGTATTCCCTTACAGCGGAAAAGTTCCTTGAATCTGTGGAAGGAAGCCAGAACTATCCGCTGTTACTCTTAACGCTGCTGGAGAAATCACAGGAAAATGTCATCAAAGTTTGTGCATCTGTAACGTTCAAGAATTATATTAAAAGGAACTGGAGAATTGTAGGTATTCTAGTGAGGAAGTGTGCTAAGAACTAATTATTCTTTTAAGGTACAATAAGCAGATCCACATCCCACCCAACTCAGTGTCATATGTGGACCTACTGAGGGAGCCCTTGATCCTCTCATCCAGATCATCAGTAAAGATATTAATCAGTACTGGCCCCAGTACTGAGCCTGGGGGAACCCCATTTGTGACTGATGGTATACCTTGAACTTTTGAAATTGCTAACTTTTGATTTAAGTGTGTGGAAAGATGGTAAAAGGGATGTGACAAGGGTAGTGGTACCATCAGCTTTAAGGTATCTCAAGATTGAGTGTCTCCCTGGAGGTGCTTTTCTCTTTTAATTGCTGCATGATTTCTAGGTCTCTGAACTTCAGTGCTTTTATCACAGAAAATGTGACTGTCACTGCTGTCACTGGGCTGGGACAAGCCACCTCATTATTTTATTTTTTTAGTAGCAGCTTTGCAATTTTCTACTACTTGGCACTGCTGACTGACTGGACTTGGAGCTGGTTGGTGTTTTGAACTTGTTAGATAACTTAAAGTCAATGTTAGGGTTTGATTGTGTAACTTGCACCTTCATGTACGGTCTCTAGAAAGGATGGCTCGAGACAGCTCACACAAAATCAGTTTGTGGGGTTGGCAGAGGTGCTGTTTGGTGTGGTGGAAGAGGAGACCTGGTTAAATGTGGGGATTTTATTGCCATGTGCACCCACCCTCACTGCTGCTCAATTGCTGACCTGAAAAGTTATCCTTAGGGAAGAGAAAAAAATTTCTTCAAAGTTTTACAGAAGGATATTATTTCTTTCAGCTTTTTTCAGATACTGCTGTTCCAGATTCATTGAAGGCAGTGGCTCTAATAGGTTTGCTTCTTAGGTTCTTCAGCATGGTAATAGTTACATAAATCAGTATAAACAGTTGGTCTCTGAAATGCTGATCATCTCTCATTGCCTGGAAAATGCTGATATGCCCATAACTTAATTATTGTTTTCATTTTAGGTTGAGGATGAACCAAACAAAATATGTGAATCGGACAGAATAGCCATTAAAGCCAACATAGTGCCCTTGATGCTTAGCAGCCCAGAACAAATTCAAAAGCAGGTAATATGTCATTCCTGCTTGTATCCATGAAACTTTGGGAATATTCTAAGCATGTCTAGAGGCTATGGTTATTGGCAGAGCTCAGTTCCCTTACCAGTGAGCTCAACCTTATCCAAATAACTTGGAGGATATTGTTACAGGTATTTCTACCTACTTTAACATTTCTTTAATATGATTATTGTGTAATCTTATAGCTAAGTTCTAACATTAGGCAGTTAAACAGCAATTCTAGAAGGTAAGATGTGTAAGCTTAAGGTGAAATTTTTGTATTTGTGTGGAAAGTAGTAGATAATTTAATCCAGGGATTTTTGAATTGGACAAGAATAGCCAGGATTTTCTGGGATGTTGGCAGCATCTGGCACATCTGCCGTGTGCTGTTCTGTCAGTGAAGCTCCGTTTCCGTTGCAGTTAAGTGATGCCATCAGTATTATTGGGCGGGA